CTTTTCTCTCTTTCCCCCCTTTCCTCATTCCCCTTCCACCAACTGTCTATGACCCTTGACCTTTAACTTCCTCCCCCAGGTGGTTTCGGCGTGTCCTGTCAATGTCCAAACGGCTACATAGGGTCAGGAGTTGGCCCACAGGGCTGTGCTAGCCAGAGCCAGAACAGCACTGGATGTAACAGCAACCCTTGTATGAACGGAGGCTCTTGTGTGGTGAGAGAAATTATGAGTGGTTCATCGTTGTTGTTGTTGTCGTCGTCGTCATCACATGTCGCTGGGACCTGGTTGAGCTAGTGAGACCGCGGTCGGACCATCATTGAAGCTTGAGATGTTATAAGAACAAATGTTTGAATGTCCAGGAACAATGGCAATTCAAATGGAGTTATTTGGACGAGTGGAGGTGCCTATAAGTATTTTGACAATGGAGCAGAAAAAAGCCTCGCTCTTGCTCAAAGATTTCTTCGTGGAGTCCACCAGGCCCATTAAGGAAACAACAAAAAAATCATCATCATCATCATCATCATCATCATCATCATCATCATCATCATCATCATCGTGTTTTAAAGTAGAAGAAAAATATACTGGAGACTTTGATAGGGTTGACCATATTAAATCAGATTATGTTCGTATACGCCTGGAGGCTCAACGTTTTGCCAGTAAGGCTACATCATGAACATGGTGTCTGAGAAAAAAAAGCGATGACGCCATAGCAATAAAGCATTCACTGTAAGTTGCATATCATCATCATCATCGTTGTTGTCGTCATAGTCATCATTTTCGTCTTCTGTTGCAGTTGTCACTTTTGTTTTCATCATCATCATTATCATCATCATCATTGTTAAAACCTCGAAGATAAAAAAAAAATAATTTAAACTTGGTGGTGACTGGTGAATTTAAAAATTTACGACACTGAAAATGTTCAATGTTTCAACTTTATGGCTTAGTCAACATCATCATCATCAGCATCATCACCCATACGCTTTTTGTGGGTGGTTGGTGGGTGCTCTGGTGTGGTTTACTTCTTCTTTCCTATCAAAAATCTATCGTCTTATCTCTCCTCCTTCTTTTTTATGTTTGTTACTCTCTTGTAACACCTCCAATCTTCTGGCGCTCATATGACCTTATTCAGTTGTGAGCGCCGTAAAACCTCAACTAAAACAAACAAACACGCTTTTTTTCTGTTGCCTCATTTTCTTCACTTTGTTTCTCTATCCACTCC